TTAGATTGTGTTCTTGTTCTACACTGACATATCAGACAAGCTGAAGTAGTCTTCTGCAGGTCTGATTAGATTGTGTTCTTGTTCTACACTGACATATCAAACGAAGCTAAAGAAGTCTTCTGCAGGTCTGATTAGATTGAGTTCCTGTTCTACACTGACATATCAAACGAAGCTGAAAGTAAGTCTTCTGCAGGTCTGATTAGATTGGGTTTCTGTTCTACACTGACATATCAAGACAAGCTGAAAGTAAGTCTTCTGCAGGTCTGATTAGATTGGGTTCCTGTTCTACACTGACATATCAGACAAGCTGAAGTAGTCTTCTGCAGGTTTGATTAGATTGGATGAGCTTGGTCATTATCCTCTCCATCCTCCTCAGTCAACAGATGCTCACTAGATGGTACCCTAACTAGTAAATTTTCACTGAGTTTACTTTTACTCTTCCCAGGAAGAAGAAAGAGAATAGATACAACAATAATGACATGCCAAATGCTATGAATGTAGTAATAGTTGAAATCAGTTTCCACAAAGCTGTAGAGAACAAGTCCAGTTGCAGCTGTGAAAATGCCAGGAATGATGCAGAATAGTATACGCTGTATGTGAGGAAAACAGTGTCTTTTCGTATAGCACTCATTAATCTGTGGAGACACAATGAGATGAGATGGAATGGAATGAAATACAACACAAGATGACCTCCTAAACATTTGTCCTAACATACATATCCTAGCTTTATCTTTTTCACCATCAGTTTCTTCTTTTCGTCGCAAATTTACAAAATAGTTCTGTTTATAATCTGCACTGTCTTTCAGAAGATTGGGACAAAAATAGCAAAATTTTGGGAGTGAATACTAAAAATTTAATCAAATTTTGTCTGTTGGCTCTAAAATTAGTGTTCATTTCCAGAAATATTGGTGAATATAAGAAAAAAGTGCAGAAAAATTTGGGTGATAAAGTCTGGTGGTTAAAAGGTTATATTTGGTCCTTATTCATCTGACACCATTGAATTTCAAACTCAGTATTTTTAGGTTCTTCCACAAAAGTTAACAGATGTGACTGCAAAAGTTGTTATCTTTGTTGTGGAGACATTTTGTAAATTTATGGGCATAATAATAATACAATGATGTGTAACCTTTATACATATTATATTGTGTGAGCAAATCAAATATGGAAATTTTCAATGATATGAAGTAAGTGATATTTTGCAATCAGCAAACACTGATATGAAGTGAATCAATGACATTTTTCCATCAGCAAACACTGATATAATTAAATCAATGAAATTTTGCAATCAGCAAACACTGATATGAATTGAATCAATGACATTTTGCAATCAGCAAACACTGATATGAATTGAATCAATGAAATTTTGCAATCAACAAACAATGATATGAATTGAATCACAGCAAACTTGCAATCGAAATTAAGATGTGTAAGCACTTGGTGCTTTTGAAAAGTAAAGGCATGCATGTTCAATGACAACCTGGGCTCTGCTTCTAGTTGTACAGATAATGATTCAATGAACTTTTATTAATCAATGAAGAGTGTAAAAGAATGTCATCAATAATTGAAATTGGGAGCAAGCTTATACATGTTTATTGTATTAGCTTTAATAGTAGCATATCTACATACATAAATGACAGATAAATATGGTCAAAATAAGTCATATTTAGGTTTATAAGTTGTGTCTTGCAGAAAATTATATAAATATGTAATAAACATGAAAAGAAGAACATAAACTCACCCAAGAACCACCAATGAGAACAAGGCCTGTAACAACAGGGACCACAAATATCCATAAACTGAATCGATCATATTTGGTCAAAACAACAAGAACCAATATCCCTGAAAATATAAATTATTTGCAAATATCATATCATACTAAAAAAGTTTCCACCACTAGCAATGTACCTTTCTTATGAATGATGTTCTTTACCAATGAAGTGTTTTCCAGCTTATATATATATATAATCTTACATTCTTTCATTCAATTCACTGTATTGTTATTTTTTTGGGTAACAGAATATTATTATTATTAGTATTATTATGGGTCAGAGTACTTTTCAGTAAAGAGGCAAAAATTTGGAATAACGCACATTTTTAAGAAAGTATACAAATTTATTTTGACTTTCTAAAGGGCCAAATGAAAATTACTTTATTGTATTTTGGCCTACCCTCTTTAAACCAAGTGTTATTATAATTAATATTAATGGAGTTTGATGAGGAATCAAATCTCAGTGGTCTGATCCTATTCCTGTCAAGTCAGAGACCATATCACCCAAAAGATAAATTATTTAAACACTCATCCCACTAGTTATGTGTGACCAAGGTGAATGAATACATTACATACATTTTCAAACTTGTGATTTTAATATTATAAGTTAGCTTTATAATTTTATTCATATTCATTAATTTTCATAAATCAGAAAGACAACAGTACCATATAGTTTAACATTGCCAAATTTTCAACAACTAAATTGACTAAAGTATTGGAATGAGTATTATAATATGGACACAAAAAACAAAATACTTGTTATACTTACCAAGTACATGTAGAAAGGACCTGGCATACAATTTGAATTTTGTCATTGCAATCAACGTAACCCAGAAAGCACAGACCGATGCATGAAAATCACAATACTGCAAAGTATCATAATCCATAATACAAAACTCTCCACTGCTATCACACGCATGGTAAAACTATAAATAACATATTTCATGTTGTAATAGGACATATTTTAATTCATACAATATCAACATGTCTTTTTCATAATTTGAATTATAATATTATATACATGTACCTATGTTTAATTAGTCGATACATTTTTTTTTTCAAAAACAATTTTTTGCAATAAACTGAAATCAAATTGTAAAAAATAGTTTGAATTCCAAGTTACTTACAGATGAAAAGAACATGGTGTAGAAATATACCAAAGACTCTATAAATAAAAGACGATATGCAGACAGGATAATAGCAGGAATGAAGAAGAGATTACTTAATGACAGCAGCAGTGTTTGTAAAAGTAAAAAACTCTCATCGTGAGCGTAAGTGTCATCTGTACACGCCCATCCACGATAATCTGAAAAAAAGTGTCAATGACATACTAGTAATCCCTGTTCAATCATAAACAACAACAAATAGAAAGATCATAAATAAATGTCAGGGAAGTCTTCAGCATATTAAAATATCAAACTGTTACAGCATTTCTTTTTAGTTTTGTTTTGTCAAAGTTATACTTCCTAAGAATAAGATCATTCTTATTTTCTACAAAATTGTAAAATCCATAAATAAACAAGTTGGACATTTCAAATTAAATAACGAAACATCAGGTGCACTGCTCATAATGACATCAGTTAAAACATCTGAGAAACAGTTAAAAACACCTGAACATAAAACAAACATAGTTGACAAGTTTAAAACAAATTACAAAACAAACTCATGTGCATCAGTAACCCATCAAATTA